GATCAAAATATCGAATTCGATGATAACGATAGTGATTTTTAGACAAGTTAAAGGATTCACAAAGCAGCGGTGTGGGGAAACCTGTGCGAGGCTACTAATGATAATTTCGAATTCGCGGCATGTAGCCGACGATAACAGTTACCGCGGCGGTAAATTGAATGTAGAAGCCTCGGAGAGATAATGGTCTCGTCTTTATCGAGGGTATCTTACGGGCCACGGCCGGCAGTACGTGGAAAAGTAATGGCCTGCAGATACTACCCTTCCGAATAGTTGAAATATCGGCCTGTCAGAAATTCTGGAACTGGGAATTGCATTCCGCCGCTCCCTTTGCCGAGGAGGCTATCCTCCGTTTTCTCGCAGGACTACTTAATTTATCTTTGTAACTTGAAGTTTATACCGCCCTATGCACTGCGAGTCCAGAGTTGATTGTATCTTATTAAAACTCGAATGTTATAAATCGCTTCCATCGCGTGCGAATCATATTAAAACTATAATATTACACCGTTTTGTCAAGCGAAACTTTCGTGCTAAAAATTTCATTGGATTTGGCGTGCCGAAAACTCGAGCTACTGCAGGAGAAAAGCTATTATCAACAATTACTGCGGATGAATTAGCTGCAAAAAAAAGATCTGGTCTCTCCTGGCAAAAGTGTCTAACGACGCGTAATTATTGAATTACACGGAAATTACAAAATCACGAGAAATTGCGGACGGCCGTCGCAGCGGCAAGAAACACCTTAGAGGCTCTCGCCGCTGAGGATATTAAAATTGGCATAACGAGCCGGTTTACATCGTCGCACACGTCGCTCGTTAAGTGCGTATTTGTTCGGCGCGCTAACGACATTAGAGTTCTTGCCGCCGGTGTGGCCGGGCTCTCGGCCATTAGACGGTGCATTTTTCGTCGATGAAAAGCTGCAACCTCGGACTAGAATGTCGATGACGAGAAAAACCGAGAGTGACAGGGGACGTGAGAGGGGACGGCGGGGGTGAGAGAGGGAAAAATGTGTCACAGGCAATCTGCAAACTAACGAAGCCGGCTTAAAGACCGGTGCCACGGTGGCTATTGAAGCACTGCAGTACTACTGCACGACATTTCGTCCCGCTAGCTCGCGCGTTCCGTCGCGCTCTTTGAAGGCTCCCCTTTTACGGCCAACATTGACCGTCGCTTTTCACGATTTTAATTACATCTCGACATAAACATTAAAAGATCTCTCTTGTCTCGTGCAAATTTCTAAATATTAAATGACGATGCCCCGAGAAATATATATACCTAAAATTTATTTCTTATTCTTTCTATATTAATCGACATAGCATTAAGTCCCCATCGTTATAGATGTGTCATATTATAGATGCGTCTTTCGCGCAGTCTGCAATTGCAACACGCTGCACGATGGAGAGAGTTAATATCACGTCGAGCAATTTGATAAGAGATAAAAAGGAGCACCTTCTTTTCCATTTCTTTTTCCAATTACCAGCATTCTCTTCGAACAGAAATAATTTACCATTTACGCAATTTAAAGAAATTGTCTATGCTGTACGTTAAAAGCGATTCATTCCATTATCGAACAGGGGAATGGGTCTCTTTGAAAGGAGCCTTCCAACTTCCACGCGGACGATAATCCGCGCGCCAACGTAACGGCGAATATACTTCAGCACATGGGCAGTTCGTTAGACCCCGTAAATATCGGTATCCTCATCGCGAACCGCGGGCGGCATCCTCTGCTATCTCGATAATGGATTCCATAACGGACGTTGCACACGTGTTGGGCCGTGTCGTTTGTACGTATGTATGTAGACCCCGGAGGGGCCGCGCAGCGCGCACCTCCTCTTTCACGAGTCCGCCCGTTACGATCCGCTGGCCAACCTAAATGCCGACGTAGCCTTAATTAAACGGCCGCCCACTCTCGCATATAACTGATCGTTTCCTTAATCGGATCGTTTTTACTGTGTCTGCGGATGTAGGGCGACACACCGGGTATATGCACTGTGGGACTGTGGGAGTTGAGTTAGCCGCGGCTCGAGGGATCGCGTCTCTGATCCACGCGAGGCGATATGCACGTCTCCCCCCACATCGTTCTGCATTTATTTCACAAGTAGATCAGAGGGAGACGGGATATCACCGGAGGTGGCTCTCGCAGTATTTGCGGCGCGGTGCGCCTCACGTGACGTAAAATATACGGATGCACCGGGTAGTCTGCATTTGTTCCGAGTTGCATCGCGGGGTAAAACTGTCATGATTGGCGGTGCAACGCTCGAGACGTCGGAACATATACTCGTACTTATTTTACGCCGGTTCATTTTGGCGCCGAGTCTTACCGACAGCCTTGATTAATTAACAGCTATATAAGTTGATATCTCTAGTTGATGCTTCTTGCGAGAATACGAGAGGGCTACACGATTTACGTATATGAACGGAGAAATGACATTTCAACAGCTATGATTAATTAATGCTGCAGAGATTGCTTTAATAACAGATTGATTAATAATTGAGAGTTAATTACATTGAATAGTTAATAATATTTGTAATGTGAGGATATTATTAATATGATTTACTAGATTAAATGAAATTTACACATATGTATGTATATTGATTTTAATAATAGTTATAAAAATATGAATAATAGTTATATAGAAATTGAAACATGATTTTTTCATTAATTGAAGGATTTGCTGCAAAAATGAAGCTAACCGATAGCCGAATATGTAATCGGTATTTTCGGAGATGTATTATTTATGATATTATTTATTTTCTGTTTTTATACGGAGAGAATTTTCTTTTAAAATTTATCCTGAAAAATCATGTTAATCGTAGGACAACATAGTATTTTGGCGAATTTTATAATATGTGATTTTTACTATTTTTTTTATATATCCTATACTATAACAAATTTATTGTAGTGCACAGTAAAAAAAAAACAGAAAATTGCATAAAATTTGTGGAAATACTATGTTGTCCTACAATTGTGCTGACTCACAATTAACATGATTTTCAGGGTAAATTTTAAAAGAAAATTCTCTCTGTATGCAAAATGTAAATAGCCCACTGTTGCAGCAAGTCCTACATTTCCAGGTATATTTGCTTTTAATGAACAATCGCATAAAAAAGTTCATCGCTGTAGTTTGCTTACCAAAGTTATACCGTAATCACTCTTAGAATGCATGGAAGCGCAGAAATTATCGCTCTTTGGCTGGTAGTTTCCAAAGTGCAACCGCTTTGTCAGCAACTGTGATCTTAATTGTAATACTTGTGTGCACGGTGGAACAATGTATACCTACACGTGGCACAGAGTGACGCGAGAAAATCGTCACTCTCGGATTCGTCGAATTGTCCGTCCAATTTTGCGAGGCGTTTAGCAAATGATCGAGGAATCCATTGAACGTGAACCCCGCAATTTCGAAGCGATTCCAACAATGGCCACTTTCTCTCTCTCTCTCTCTCTCTCTCTCTCTCTCTCTCTCTCGCGAAAAGAGTGACACTGTGTGACTCCAGACAATAACGTGGCAAACGTAAATTATCCCTTCGCAAGGTGGCGAGCGCGGGAGAGGATCCGATTTGAATAGCGAGCAAAGTGAACAATACGCACGATATGTCAACTGAATTGGGTCAATATCCGGTATACGGTGGGTCATCCCGAACTGGAAGTCATTTCGCATTAATTTCTATACATAAAAAAAGATTCGAATCGCGTAAACGAGCCTCTTACGCCATAAAACAAAATCAATCACATCGTCTCGGTCTAACCGTCAAACGATTCTTGTCAACTATAATTTTTTATTTATTGTATTTCATTATATGTTAACAAGATGAGTCTTTGATTATGATGCAATTCGATAAAAAGTGAAGATGTATAATTGCACAGTAATGTATAGTAGATAATATAGAGCAATATTTCATCTGAACTATAATTTTAATGCCACAATAACTCGCTTCACGTGTAATATATATAGGGATGATAATTCACATAGATTTATTACATTTATTATTATTATTATTTAATGGTCTGCAAAACGAAACCTCTTTTGAATCAAACGACATTAACCCGTCTCAATTGCAAATTTGCCATTTCGGTATTATGTCGCTTCGAACTTCTAATGAATTGAATTCTGCATTAGATTCGCTATATGGTTGTCGCGGCACTTTAATTGGCGCTAAGTGGCACAACGCTCCGCTTTGTAACGTAGACACGTCGGCTTTAAGCGTCAGCGCAATGCAAACAGCACGTGGCATAGTTACATAAAATCAAAGTTTCCTAAAATCAAACAATCGCTCCTCGTGAACGATCGTTGCGACTGTCAGCGAATTTCGACGATGTGCAACGGCAATAACTATACGTACGGGGAAACGACGTACATACGTATGCACTCGCATGCACGTGGCGTGCGCGCGCGCGTGTTTTACACACATTTCAGAAACATGTCCTCCGAGTGAGTGCCACGAAAATTATGACCGACGGGGCGCATCCCGCGAAAGCTGTTGCAGCGGCTGAAATATGTACGCAGTGCACCGCAGTGTTGCACGAAATCACCGCGACAGAAAGTAATTATTCCTATTGTAGCTCCGCTACCTGCAGATATTAGACCATACGTCACTCCAGCGGAAGCGATGAATTACCCAATACCCCATCTGCCTCCCCCCCCCTCCCGCCGGACGCAATTCCGAGAAATCAGAATTTCAATTAGACAATTAGTCTAGCCTTTGACTGCGCCTAATTATATAATCGATGTCGATAAATCGTACTGTGATATAATCGTACCGTGATGTAATGTTTATCTTATCTTTCGTAATATTTTTTTCACAGTAAGTATATCTGTTATTTGAAAAACTAATAAATTTATGATCTCTGCAGCAGCTAAAAATTAAGTCTCATCTTTTGCGGAATTGTATTTGCGATTTGCCCGTCCGACTGAGATAGATAAGCGAAATATTCTCAGCGGGACATGACATTGCCCAAGGTTTACTCGAAAACACAGTGAAAATATTTAAATATATATTTTTTTCAGAGAGCACATTCCAAGTGACGCTGCAGAAAAGCAGTCGCGGCCTCGGCCTGAGTGTTTCCGGTGGCGGCACCGCGGGGCCCGTACGCGTGAAAAGACTCTTTCCTCAACAACCCGCCGCACTTTCTAACAAACTTCAAATTGGCGACATACTACTGACTGCCAACGGGATCCCGCTGACTGGCCTCACCAATTACGTGAGTAATCAATTAAACTACGATTGAGAATCAGTGACAGAGGCAGAAAACGGAACAGCGACTCTAACTGCGAATGAATCAAGTTAATAAACGAAAACTTATTGCAGCTTGCAAACTGCGTGTAATGATGTTTCATAAATAAAATCGCAGGTTTCAAGTTGATAAAGTTTATTCGGATTTAAAATTGGAGATATTACGTAAACTGACTGATACAGCTTTAAAGAGATCAAGTAAAAGAATAAAAGCTCAAAAGAAAAAAAAAACTCTCAGTTTTCAATATTTTTTTAAATTTATATATAAGTGCAGTGTAAATAATATCAAGAATATGCTAAATAATATACTTGTATCTAACTAAACTCCTTCCTTCGATTTTAGCCAATTTAAATCTAGTAAAATAAATTCTTCTAAAAATTATTTGTTTATTTCGCTGATAACGCGGATATAGCAATGTCTGTTTTCGAGGAAGAAGTAACGTCCTGGAACAAATGCCGATACTAGATAAACGCAGTAAAGCGCACATGCACACGCATGCTTCAGCTTACACGCGCTGAATGCTCGGTAGTAATGATTGCTACGTTCTCGACTGGCGGCCTCAGCCTTGCTCTCTTCTCGCGGCTCTCGCGAAGATTTGCATTGGATTAGCATAATGCAGCTACGCCCGCGAGTGCCCCGGCGAGAGGATAGACGTTATCTCGCGTGTACTTGGCAGCTTGTCCCACGAGGGCAAAAGCAATACTGTCTTCTGTCAGTACGCAAACGCGTATGCTCGCGTCGTAAACTCGCACGTTCCTGCGGATCCCCTCTCGCATATTCTCTCGCGAAACGCGCGGACCTGGCCGCGGAAGACGTTAAAACGTTGACTTTATCTCAACTCGATTGCTCCGCTTTGCCACAGGACGCCAGTCGGGAAGTAGTTGCGACCGTCTTCAACCGCATAGTCGAGTCGTCGCGAAGTAAAAAATCGTCTCGCTCACCGCTCGTTAAATGTAAATTTGATAAGAAATCAAAGGGAAGTGAATGTAAAGTATCATGACTAAGAAATACACAGGGAGTATGATTTATCTTTCCCGAATACGATAAACATTGCGGAATCTTTATATTTTTGCGAATGTAATGTATTTTAAATGCGCCGTTCGTTAAACTCATGAGAACATTCATAATAACAGATCGCAAGAGGAAGATGTAAAGGCAACTCCTTAAAATTTCAGGAATTTTATCGGTAAAGAAATATCAAACATCAGAGTCTTCCTAAATATACCTGTTATTTATTAGCTTCTCGTAGCATCAAGTTTTCCCCTCTCAAAGTCGTCGTTCTATTTCGTTCCGGTTGTAAACCGTCGAAACACGACTCACTATCGGCCCGGACTTTTCGGAAAACCGTAACTCTAAAAAAGATGACGTCGTCGCCGCCAGGGTGTCGAGAGTATTATCTTTGTATTATAAAGAGTGAGAGAGAGAGAGAGAGAGAGAGAGAGAGAGCCCGCGCATAATCTTATTTCGATGCTACTTGTTGCAGGAGGCTCTCGAAGTTCTGCGTATGACGCCCAGCACGGTCGAGCTGGTGGTGTGCCGGCTTCCAGGTGATAGTAATGTCACGCCACCCGGTGCACCGCCGCCACCCCCAGCAAGGCGGGAGCCGCCGCCGCCGTTACGTTTACTCAACCCTCTGCCGCCTCTGCAGATCGAGCCCTGCGGCGTAAGTAATGCTCCACCTAAACTACACTTCATGAATACATTACACGTTTGTCGCGCCATCGTTTCTGGGACGAGTAAATCAATGGACATATATAAAAAGTATCAGACGTATATTTAATAAAATCTACATATAAAAGCATTTAGTCCATCAGAAAATTCTGTAGCCAAAGATAAAAATACCACAATTTTATATATGTACAAGAGAAACAGTTTAATATCATCGATCGTACATTATTACGTTTGTCGCGCGATCGTTTCTAGAACGAATAAATAAATGGATAAAAAGTATATCTGACGATTTTATAAAATTTACATAAAAGCGGTTGGTCCTTCAGATAATCCTGTAGACAAAGATAAAATACTACGGTTTTATACTCTGATGAGAAGTTTAGTTTAAATATCGATCATAATTTCTAAAGATAATTATTAATAATAACGCGTACATTATTTCTAAAGACAATTATTAACAATAATTACGTACGTATATTATTTCTAAATTCAATTAATAGTCAATTAATAGAGTTTAATTCTGAAAGCGTATTTTATCAATATTACGGTCTATGGATATTATATTTGTTGATAATGTAGCAATAAATTCTAACAAAGAGAAATTTATTTTAAATATTATGCATAATAATGACATTGTTTGCATTTGATGATAGAAATAATTACACTGTTTAATTCCTCACGGTAATGTACAGATAAATTATTCACAAGCGATACTTGACTCTCGATGCATCCCCGGAGGAACATATACAATGAACTAGAATAAATGATTTAATGACTCCACTCTAAATGATACGATAAAAAGTACTGACGCAAATTACAGATCCTCTCAAATAGATTTTATCTATAGTACGAAAAGACTTATCTGCTAAAACTTGTAATTTATTGTAGCGCGATTTGCTTTCGAGCACGTGATTAAAGTAAGTAAAGCGACAAGCTCGAAACATACCTCATATACGCATTATATATTTATTCCAATGTTCGATTCTCCCGAGGAAACTTTAATATCGATCCTTGAAGTAATACTCATAAACAATAGCGTACGTACTACATTCGTTGCGTACTATAGCATTAAAGAGAGAAATGTAAAACGTGAATCAGATATTCCGCACGTGGATCCCGACTCAATAAATATAATGTACGTATTGTATACATATATTTTTTTTACGAGCTACAAAAATATATTTTTTAACTTTTATGACGTTGGATTATATTATCAAAAAAACATTGAGATTGAAAAATATCAAATAATCATAAATTTGACATAAATCAACAGAAAAAGCAATTTTCATCTGTCAGAAAGTATATCTTTATGTAAAAACACGCAGTTTTCTATAAATATAAGAAAAATTCATCAATGGAGGATTAATATATTCGTCAATTAATAAAATTAATACGGAGTTTAAGATAACAGCCAATGTGTAACTTCTGTTTGCAGGAGTTTGACATCGAGATGACAAAAGTGGGCGGCAGTCTTGGTTTCACTCTGAGAAAGGCGGACAGCAGTGCCCTGGGCCATTATGTACGTGCACTAGTCCGAGAACCGGCATTGAGCGACGGCAGAATCCGACCGGGTGATAAGATCGTCGCGGTGGACGGTGCACCGCTGTCGCCGATGAGTCACGAGGAAGCGGTCCAGCTGCTGCGACAATGCGGACCGACGGTGAAGCTGCGGCTATACCGGGATCTGGCGCAGACCCCGGTCTCGGCGCTCTCGCCCACCGAACCTGATCACCCTCTCCGTCCGCCACGAACGAGCTTGAGGTAAGTCTCGATCCAATTAATTCATTTATTTATGTTATATTTTATAGTTTTTATGTTATATTTATTGTGTTATCTATACAGAATGTATGCTGTAATTGATAGTATTATAATTGAAAAGATAACGATTTTAGATGAAAGATAAATAATTAAAAATAAAAATAAATAAATAAATCGAAAGTATAAAATAAATTCTTCTCGCGCGGGAGACTTTGTTTTGAAAATTAATTTTGCAAATTAGGAAATTGCTAATGAATAATTACATTTGCAATATGGTGTAGTCTGAGATTAAAAAATTAAAGTATTTCATAATTTGAAATAAAAAGCACTATTAAAATACGGGTATTAATATTGGAGTAAGAGACGTGCGATGAAAGGAAAATCGATAAAGTCAGACCATCTACAGGCAGATGAAATA